GCTAGTGTCTAGGGGACTTAGGCGGGGAAACGAGGGCCGGCTTGTCATGTCTGATGACGTTGTCGGGCCGATGGAGATAGGAAGTCCGTTGCCGATCGGACTCGGGGATAGACAGGGCCGGTTTGTCATATCTGATGACGTTGTCGGGCCGACGGGGATCGGATGTCCGATGGAGATCGGAGTGCGGCTGTTACCGAAGAAGCGTGATGCGGCGACGAGGCGGCGGCGATGTAGGTGTGTTTGATGCGCTGATGCGTGCCTGTCGGTGATGCGTTCTCTGATGTTTAGCGCGCGGCTAGGACTTGTAAACTGGCGCTAATGCGCCGACGACGTTTGGAGGGTCGTACAAACGTGGAATAAATCGGAGAAAATGGGAATAAAATAGGAGGCCGGGGCTACGCCCACGACAGCCGGATTAAGGCGAAGTTGTCGAGTAGACTCTGCTCGAGCGCGCCCGTCAGGGCCAGGAGGTCTTTCCAAATCTCAGGATTGTACGGAACATATGACGTTGCCGAACGAATCAATCTGCGGAGCGCGTCAGTGAATGCAAGATGCGACAGGCACGCGTCCACCACCTACTGCGCCTGGATGACCGTGCTTTCGAGACCATGTTCGTGCCCATCGCGTCGTCAATGCGTGCTGTGAAACGAATATACAGCGTGCGGCCGGCCATGGCACGCTTGACGCTCTAGAGTTTGGCGAAGCGAGAGGCCCTCGGGGCTCTCGAAGATCGTATTCGTACCCATCGCGTCGCCAGTGCGGGTCGTCGAACCGAACGCGCAACGTGTGACCGGCCATGGCACACTTGACGCTCTGGAGCGTAGCGAAGCGGGAGGGTAGACTCGAAGGCCTCCTTGGCAATGGCATGGCCCTCAGAGTTCTCGATCCATACGCGAGCGGCGGCGGCCTGCACATTGTTCGGGAGGTCGATGGCAGGTTCGCGGATCATGCCATCGTAGGTGACAATGGTAGTGTCACCTTCGCCGGAATTGAGCGCCTTGCATCCGTGCGAGGTCGAAGCAGCGAGTGCGCCCTCGGCGGTGGCCATGAGAACGGGATGCCTTTCGCCGTTGATCTTCAGAGGGCCAGCAATACCAAGTGAGATGCGCACGTAACCGATGATGTGGAGACATTCGACTGCTCAAGTGTCTTGGTCCTCGAAGCACGAGCTGTTGCTAGGTCACTACGAGTTATCTTTGAGTAATATAAATCTGCGTGCTTACAGATCAATGCACGACGGATCGTGATCACCCTGTCGAAATCTCCAAGCATCTCCTCAAGTGCGTGCGCGGCGATCTTGCCATTATGGACCAAAAGGATTACCTCTTCGTCCGTAAGCAGCAATAGGCTCGTAAATGCTGGGCGAGAACCGTCCTCGAATATGAAGATAATTTCGTCGAGCGGTCGGGTCAGGTCGGGTCGTTGCGAGCACGCTCGGCATAGGCTACAGCTTCGATAAGGAAATGCTCCCTCTCAAGCTTCGCGATGACAGTGATGAGATCAACTGGGATGCTGAGGATTGATAGCTTGTGCTCCTTGGCAGGACCGTCGAGAAGAGCAGTGAGAATCAAGCTCGAGCACCGGGGTAGATGGGGTGGTAACAACGAGCCCAATGCTCAGCATGATGATGGCGGGCCTCGGGGACTCGCAAATTTTCTTGACATCCTTCTCGGGTACGCGCGCACGAGGGCGAGGCGTACACGAATAACCGGGAGCCGACACCAGCGGCAATGTCCTTCAGTAAGAAGCCGCTGGGGGCAACGCTGATGCCGAGGAGAACGACAGTCCACTTGGACACGACCGGATGGCCGACCAGGGTGAACCAGCCGGACATGAAGTTCCCAATGATGTCGCCAACGTTGGCCGTCCACACGTCGGCACTAGTATAGCCGGAGAGCACATTGGAAGTGGAAGCGACAGGATGCACCTGTGTAGCTGCTGGGCGCGGGTGGAGAGTGCAATCTTCACACTAGTCGAAGCGTCGTTGACGACGATGGTTGCTTCCAGTTCGGCCAGAGGGGAGAAAACGGTGGCAGCCTGGGGAGAGGTGAAATCGACACGCAGAGGGGGACAGAGCGGTCCCAGTTAATGCGGGGAGTGCGCTTGTGGCGGCGTGCAAGAGCTGTTGCTGGGGAGAGTGTCATGCAGAAGTTAGTGATGTGTAGGGTAAGGAAGGCCGCTGGCTGTGGTACACATTCGTCAGTGTCCTCTAATCGTAGAAGAGTTTGTACGCACACAATGAGAAGCTTCAGCCAACGACCGGATCCACCTCAAACTCCTATGGAGAGCTAGATAGGCTAGATAGGTGCGAGCTGAAAGAGCTCACGCTCGAGAGCTGTTCTCGCTGCTGCCGTTGTTCGACCCGTTGTCGTTCGAAGACGTGTTGAGCGCAAAGGGGCACGACTGTGCGCTCTCGAATGGCCGTGCGAGGATGACGGCGGCTCGGAGGGCATCGAGTCGATCGCGGGAATAGTACTTTGAAGTGCGCGTGGTGAACTAATGCAGGGGATGCGTCGGCGTGTGTAGTGGCAGGGACCTAGCTCGGCGGGAGTGAGAACGCAGATGCCCCGCCCGCACCAGGGGGACTGTGGCTCCCATGGCTCGAAACTGTGGTGATGCATAGATGGTGGCTCGTCGGGGTCGATATATCAAAGATATCGTGAGCTGTCGAGGGCCGGTAGTCGTCATGTGGACTGACAAGAATTTCACTTTCTCGCTCGGCTTCCCTGCTCCCGGCAGAGTCCGAGATCACGAGATCACGCCAGATTCTGCGATTAGATAACTGATTAGATTCAAGCGTACCGGTCCTACGAATGCAAGAGCTGCCGGCGCAAGATCTAGGGCGAGCTCAAGTTTTTAAGCTGTGGTGCATGTGTCCGATCCCAGCCTCTAGCTCGCCGCGCCGCTCTCTTTCTTTCACGCAATTGCCACCTGTCACATGCCTTGAATGCCTCCATCCGCCTTTCCACTTCTTTCTGCAACAAAACAAGCCTCGACCTCGGGCTCCCAGTAGTCGCCATTCATCGGTTTGCGCTATGTGTAGGTGTACCGGCCGATCAGATTCCTGCAAGGATGCTATCACTACAGCGTCTTCCTTCTCGAGAGACGGAGGGTTGATTATTACGATTATCTTCGCTGTCAACTGGGCTGTGTTCAATAGAGACTCAAGTCGTCGTACGACTGGCAAGGAACTGAGACACGGAAGCGGTATTTATAAAGAAGGCATCAGCCACCATATCTTCTGTACGTAAAGGCTCGGAGACCAATAGTTTAGTCGTCAGCTTTCGTGGCACCGTGCCTTCGATCCACACACCAGGATTGCTGACAACCTCGTCTACATGAGAGAGAATCAGTCAGTGGTTCGCGTCGTATGTTTCCATCGCCACGCTGTGCCCGCTGAACACTTCCCGCCCAAAGGGCGCATAGCCGGTCTTGGAAAGGCAAACACAGTCATCCCCCACCGCGGCAAAGTGGATCGCCGCTCTGGCCGGTAGAGACATGCGCTCAGGCAGTACCTCTGCGGCAAAGCCCTCGCACCAGCGTGTTGGCACCGCAAAGCCTCGACGTCTGAACGTCCCCACAGCGTCTTCTTCCGACAGGTAAGACGGCCGGAGCAAGACGAAGCTTTCGAGCAGGCTCTGCTCGAGCATGCCCGTCGACATCAGGCGCTCCTTCCAGATCTCGGAGTCGTACAAAAACTGACGTTGACGAACGAGTCGGTCTGCGAAACGCGTCAGTAACTGCGGGACGAGGTGGGCGCGTCCACCACGTGCATCTGGATGACTTCGTTCGCGTCTAGATCGCTCAATAATCTCCATTAGCTGAACGTCTTACCCGAGCTGTTGCTTCAGGGAGCCCAAGAGCTCCTGGAAGTTCATCGAGGCCAGTACCTGTACGAACGAGATGCTGAGGAAGACGTAGGCGAAGATACGCCCGGGATGGTAGCTCGTGAGGTGTGAGATTGCCTTACAGCCCCTGTAATTGGCAGTTCAGTATCTGAGACCGCCACTACTGAGGAGAGACGAGACGAGCTCACCAGCCATGGCCGATAGCAT